CGTACAAGGGTGTTCAGTGCAGAATCGACATTATGTTGTTTGCCCATATATTTTGCCCTATGGGCAATTTTTTAATTGTTATAACAATTTATAAATCTCATTTACATTTTTATACAATCAATATCAAAACGGTATTTCTATACATCATTAAAATACATGATTCAACATCAGCTATCTTAGTGTGAACTCTTTTAATTTTTCATTTATAACATTAGTATACTGCTCATTATTATATGTTTTTTTGTATTATTATTTTTATGAAAAAATAGATGTCTTTAGTTATTAACTCTAGAACAAATAGTTGTCGTGTTTAATACATCATTTCGCTCATCTTTATATCCTAAAAGTATTTTTGAGACAGAAAGTATTGAAGATACCCACTCTCCTACATTAACCCACATACTAACATGGCAATTACAGATTATTTTTTTTTCCTTCGGGCAATTCAACATTTCTTACTGATTGTATAACTTTAAGTGCACGAAGACACCATGCAGAATATTAATGCTTAACAGAGGAATTTCCAGCGAGCCGAAAGTCAAACTTCTGACGTGCTCTCTTAGGCTCGTAAAAAACCCATGCCATAAATACCTCATTTCTATTGGAATGCTGAATAAACGTAAAATATAGATATAAAGGAATAACAAATATGTTCCCTTTCAGTATGGTACAGAAGCAATTAAAAACCTAATTTTCTCATTTTCTGCATCCCTCCAACTGATAACAGGTAAACATGGGTAAAATGTAACCCAGTTACGATGACGACAACATAACATGTGGTCCTGATCAATTTTGGTAGTCTAGGTAAAGAGCCGCGCTTAATTAATCTAAATTCGTTGTTAATGTAGTGAAATGTCATTATTTGTTTTCCTTTCTTTGATAGTAATGATGTTATATATAAGTAGTTCATCACACATTATTCTGTCATTTTCATCAGATTGATTATATGTATGAATGTTGCTCAACATTATACATGCACTATCACTCAAGGTTCTCGAGGTCTATATTGAAATATCGCCACCTTGTGCCCAACTCATCGTACAGTCAAACAGTGGATACATGGTACTGATTAGAAAACAACATTTTTCAAATTATAGGGCATCCTGGAAACCTGTTTTTTTTTATGTTAGTGCATAAATGAGGCTAAGAGGCTAGTTTATTGAATGAATGATGTATTTTACGAAATATGTATGCTAGAGGTACAAATTAATGGGTTCAATTTAGATCTTCGTGCAGAAAGTGTAGATTACATGACACTGGCTCCATGACATGTATAAGCCATAGCTAAACCCATATGAAATAATGACCAAAGCTAACCTTTCTTTTGTATGCCATAACATTTGAAGATGATAATAAATGTATGTGAAATTGTAACGTTTAAAACGTATATTGATAATATTTGGTTGGAAATCACAAATACAGAAGGTTCAGGTTTCGTTTATTGAAGAGTGAATTTCTATGTGAATGACAAGGCCGCGGTATATAGGTCTGCTCCAGGAAAAAATGCATGTATAATTTAAGCACATTCAGCCAATTTTTAGATATGAAATAGTGTTGATAGCGAATGATATGTTGATTTATGTCATACAATTGGATATTTCATTTATCTAGATATTTATGACAAGAAATTTTAATTTAGTTTCTGAGTCTGGGTTTCTTTGAAATGTCAGAAAGTCTTAACATATTAAATATTACTGCCTGGAGAGGAAAATTGTTCATCTATGTTAATTATACTTCAGCTAGGTTTATACATAAGTAAATCGATACAAAAATAATGTAGGTAATGTTTGGATAGACTATAACTGATCTTATTATCCACATATATTTATGATGCTTTTATTTATGTCTTATTAATACAGTTTTGACGAAGTGAAATGAACTAACAAAATTGTATAAGACTAGATCCTAGACTATTATGAACCACGGCCACATTGGCCCGAATTCACAAAGCAAGGTTTGAGCTCAAACCTCCTTTAATAATAATAATAATAATAATGTAACTTATATCGCGCCAAATTCACTCTGTGGAGTGCTCAAGGCGCGTGTAAACAGGAAAACGATCAAGACTTGAAAAGGAATGTTTTGAGATGAGTTTTGAAAGAATCAGAAGATAAACATTTGTTGATGTCTTCAGGAAGGCCATTCCATAATTTAGGACTAGAGTATGCAAATGATCTTTCCCCCCACGTTTTGGTAATTTTGGGGGTCACAAGAAAATTGGAAGTGGATGAGCGTAGAGGTCTTGTAGGAGTGTAGTTTTGGATTAGAGAGATAAGGTATTGAGGAGCAGAGCCGTGAACGCAATGAAAGGTAAGCAACAAAATTTTGAAAACAATGCGATCTTTTACTGGGAGCCAGTGTAGCGACTGCAAAACTGGGGAAATGTGGGTACGCTTGGTGGTCAGAGAAACAATACGAGCTGCAGCGTTTTGAAGCTTCTGGAGTTTGGACAGTAGATTCTGGGGTAGATTGATTAGGAGGGCATTGCCAAAATCAAGACGGGAGGAAATCAGAGCATGTACTTATTTTTCGGTGGCAGACTTGGACAAATATTTACGAATAAAACCGATATTACGCAATCGGTACCTTACTGATCTGCAAATATTAGAAACTTGGTCAGATATTGTCATATGTGAGTCAAACATAACACCGAGATTGACGACACGTTTGTGACAAGTGAATTATGTGGCCAGAAAATGAAATGCAATTGATATTAACTTTACTAAGCTGTACTTTGGAACCAAATATAAGGAATTTGCATTTGTCTAAATTTAATTTCAAGGAACGTGCGAGCATCCAATCATGAACATCAACCATGCAAGATTCAAGGCGATGAACGGCTCGTTCTGCAGCGGCTTGATCTGGATTGAAGGAAATCATAAGTTGAATATCGTCTGCATAAATATGATAATCTATGCCATGTTGTAACAAAACTTGTCGCAATCCAATTAAATAAATCGAGAAGAGAGTAGGCCCGCCCACAGAACCCTGTGGTACTCCACAAGAGAGAGGCAAAGCAACTGATTTGCAACCATTAATACAAACGATCTGAGAGTGGTATGACAGATAAGACTCGAACCATTTGTATGCCTCACCCTTGACACCAAGTGAACTAAGTGTGTTCAAAAGGATAGTGTGATTAACGGTGTCGAAGGCGGAGGACAAGTCTAGCAGCAGGAGAGCAGTTGAGTTACCCCTATCCATCCCTTGCAGGATATAGTTGGACACATTCACAAGCAGTGTTTCCACACTATGATGGGTTCTGTAACCTGACTGGAAAGGGTCGAACAAATCATTGTCCAGAAAATAATCCGAAAGACGAGAAAACACAACCCTTTCAAGAATTTTGAACAAAAAAGGTAGGTTTGAAACTGGTCGATAATATTGGAGGGAATTTAGGTCCAGAGAAGGTTTCTTCAACAACGGAGTAACAAGAGCTATTTTCAATGAGGAAGGAACATGTGCCTGCTCTAAACTCAAGTTAATCAAGTAAGAAAGGATGGGAGCGAATGTGGAGGAACAGTCCATTAATAATTTAGTGGGAACAGGGTCTAACTGACATGATTTGGGGGGTAGTTTACGTAAGAGTGACATAATCTCCTTAGGGTAGTAGGTTGTATTACTTCAAAGGAAGAGGAAGTAAGGGGGTGGTGTGATGTTTCGTCAGGTGATAAACTGTCGCAGATGGTCTTGACTTTCGTCTGGAAGAAGTGGGTGAATGTAGAGGCCATTTGCTGGCTGTCCGTGTGGGCTGGAAGTGGTGATGACTGTCGACGATTCAGAAGTCGGTTTGCTACTGAGAAGAGCTTTCTGGAATCATTCCGACAGTCATCGATAAGATCTACAAAGTATGAGCGCTTTTGTTTCGCCAAACCTCCTTTTGTTCTTTACAAACCAGGTTTGTAAAAAACGCGTAAAACGCGTCATATGACGTACGAAAACCAAGGTTTGTCGACAAACCTCCTTTGTGAATTCGGGCCATAATATCTGCCGATGACACCTTTCGACACTTCGATGTAAGCTTTAAGTCCGCGTTACATAAGCATTGTAAATACGTTATGGTGTAAGCAGTCTCTAGTATTTCAATGGTGCAAACCTACATTTCCGTGTAGGTGTCACATAACAGCAACAATTGATATGATCCTCCCTTTTGGCAGATTTTGGATACTGTGGCCGGGCCTAACACTTGGCGACCAATAGGCCTAAACTTTACAAAATGGTTCCCTTCGCCTTTTTCGTGTTTAAAATACTTTTGCAATACGTTTTGCTATAGCTATGAATTGTACATAACAGGGTAAAGAAGATAGCGAATAATTAAACGGAAGAAGCATCTATATATCCTTCTGTATGAGATATTTCATTAATCCAAACGAACTTCTGTAAATAATCCAAAGGGTATCGCAATTAAAAATAGCTTTGGGATTATTTTCTTCAAGATTTCTTGCTGTAGCTAGAGCCACTGATTAGGAAACTTTTGCTAACCTGGTTTGAGTAGGGTACAACATAACGGACACTGCTTTGTTGGGCATGCACAAAAGTAAAGAGGAACCATGTTGTGATCAAGTAAAACTATGTTTACTTAACTATGTGTATAGGTGACTCTGGTATTGGTGCACCTTCAGCAGTGTTTAGCGGCAATACATTTTGGGTGTAAACGCTGCACAATAAGCTTTAATACTATTTTTAACATATTTATTTTAAGAAGCGTATGTAAAGGAGCATGAATATGATAGTTTCATCAAGAGAATCAGGCTAAAACTTACAAAAAACGTACGCAACTAAAAGTCGTGAAGCTGGCTTTGATGAAAAAGTGCCGTTATGGCTCAATGTCCGGAATCAAAGTACGGTTTATGAATATTATCTACCGCGAAAACTAGTTCTCTTTTGTTATCATGTTTGCTAATGCACAATTATTACCCTGGGTATTTGTATTTCGATAAAACACATATATAAGTCTACACACTCACTGCTACAAGGACAGTGTGTCTCTGAGTCACAGATCTGCAACGGTCGGAGATTCGTCGCCATAGGATCAACATTTCGAGGTGTACTCAAGTGCATTGTCTTGAAGGTAAGAAATAGAACAGTACTTCTTATTAAGGATAAGATTGAGTTATGATAAAGATGGCTGGCACCTGAAAATCTATTGAAGTGCACTCATATTGGAAATTTGACAAGAACTAGCTCAACCGTTTGGACCAATGTCGAATGTGTGTGTTGTTTCACATTACATAATTCTGTATGTAGTCTCACATAGCTAGTTAACTAGACTGATAGATAGCGCCTCACAGGCAGCACGTCTTTATTTTGAGCTCTAACAAACTTCAATTTTCATTGGCGACAAAGAATTAATTTATGTTCGTCAAGCCAAAGTCCTCGGAATAATTTTACAATCGAACTTAAAGTGGGATAGTCATGTATCCGATCTCACAAAAAGGTGTAATAGGAAGTTGTTTATGTTTCGTTGCCTTAAGAAGAATGGATTGCCTGTAGATGACCTTTTACTTATATATAAAGGATAAATTCGTTCGATTTTAGATTATGGGGTACCGGTTTTCAATGGTAATTTAACAAAAACTCATGTATATATTTAAGAACGTATTCAGAAAAGAGCTTGCAAAATCATTTTAGGACGTCAGTATGAAAATTATGAAGCAGCATTGGAAACGTGCAATCTACGTTCATTAGAAGCAAGACGTGAGCAGTTATGTATAGACTTTGCCAATGCACTTGTCAAACACCCACAATTTAAAGAATGTTTACCTCTTTGACAACAAAGCACTTATGCTCTAAGATCTCAATCAAAGTTTAAAAAATACCAATGTAAAACAAAACGCTTCCAGTGCAGCTCTCTTCCTTACTTTGTAAATCTTCTGAATAAAATGTAATACCAATATAAATTGTATTTTTAGAATTTCACAGTCCATGATTGAACTATGTGAATGAATTTTGATAGTTTTTATCTCAATTTTCTGCATTACTGAATATTTCTTGCCATCTCCCCTCATCTGTAATGATAAGGTACTCTTTGTCTGTCTCTTCCTCTCTTCAACTCTCTCTCTCTCTCTCTCTCCTTCGCGCTCTCTCTCTTTCCGTCTCTCTCTTTCGTCCCCCTTCTCTCTCTTTCTTTCTCTCTTTCGCTCTCCTTCTCTCTCTTTGTCATCACTCCAACTCTCCCTCTCCTACACCTCTCCCTATCTCTTTCTTTTTTAACAACAATTTGAATTTGATCAATGAATTTTCATTAAATGTCTATATGTTTGATCATTGATTTATGTCATATTTTATGTTATTTCAATTTAAATTTCAATTGTATTGTATATTACCTTGTGAAATGGATTGCAATTCAGCCATTGGCTGCGATGATCTGTTTAATAAAAACCATTTATATCTATCTATCTATCTCTCATGCCTAATTCTGTATGCAATTTTTACTTACGTAATTATTTAATATGTAATCTCATTTTCCTAATTCCGTATGTAATCTCATATTCCTAATTCTGTAAGTAATCTCAATCACCTAATTTTCTATGTGATTTCACATACCTAATTCTGTATGTAATCTCTCAAACCTAATTGCCAATGTAATCTGTCATACTTAATTAATCTCATATTCCTAATTATTATGTATGTAATCTCGCATACCTAATTATGTATGTAATCTCATATTCCTAATTATTATGTATGTAATCTCGCATACATTACTCTGTGTATAATCTCTCATATCTAATTATGTGTGTAATCTCTCATACCTAATTCTTTATGTTATCTCCCACATACACATGTATGTGATCTCACATACCTAGCTCTGTACGTAATCTCACATGCCTAATTCTGTTTGTAATCTCTCATTTCTAATTTTGCGTTTAATGCATAAGATCTTCAGCAAGAATAAGAACATTTCATCTCAATTTGATAATTCAAGAACGCGTAGTACACACCAATTATCGTGTCCTACGTAATCTTTACTATGATACCAAAGATTATTTAAACATATTTGTGGCTTACACCCAGTAAATCTTGGAAGCCTCAAATATGTTTAAATAATTGAAATTTCTCCCAGGAAGCATTACATTTATAAAATATACCAAAGATATTTACCCTCACATCAATTATTGGTGGATTTTGCTTTTTGCTTAACTGTTATGTATTAAAAGGGTTGTAATGGAGCTAAGCTAACCAAGACAAGAAACGGGTAATTTTGTAAACACATTATATTGAACAAAGAAATTTACCCCCACATTAATTATTGGTGGATTGTGCTTTGTTCTAAACCGTTATGAGTTAAAGGGTTGTAATGGAGCTAACCAAAACTAGAAAAAGGTAACTTTGTAAGGCGAGGCGTCAAAAAAAAATATACCAGCCAGCGGCAGCTAACTGCACTTGTGCGTCCTGGCTGCATTTTTTTAATTAGCTCAGCCGGCTACCGCTGGCGGTAGGAAATGGCATTCAAAAGCATGCGCCGGCTGCCGCCTTTCGAATGGAAACCGAGCCTCAGATCCCAGCCTGGCGCAAGCCGGCTGGGTTAATAAGTGAAAAATAATTGCCCCAGCCAGGCTTCGGCCGTAATTGCAGCCTCGATGCGCCAATACGTGAGGCGGCAGCCTGCTGGTATCGATATTTTTGACGCCTCGCCTAAAGACGTTGCGTCGACAAATAAATTTACCCTCACCATATATATGGTGCCTTGTGTTTTGTTCTAAATTTTTCCATGTTAAAAGGGTTGTAATGGAGCTAAATTAGACCAGAAAAGGGTAACTTTGTAAAGATACTGCGTGTAAAAATTGAATTTTCCCTCACATCAATTATTGGTGCCTTGTGTTTTTTGCTTTCTTATTCTGTGTTAAAAGGGTTCTATTGAAGGTTATCAAGACCAGAAACAGATAGTTGTTTGAAGACATTGCTTTGACTAAAGTAATTTAATCTAACATTTTAATTTGGTTCTTAATTTTTGTTCTAAAGTGTCTAAAATGTTAAAAGGATTGTAATGTAGTTAACCAAGACCAAGACCAAAAGCGGGTAATTTGGTAAAGATATTGCGTTGAACAAAGCAAATTATTCTGTGTTAAAATGGTTGTAATCTAGCTTACTAACACCAACAAAAGGTATGTTAAAATTTAAAAAAATCGCGATATACAAAGCAATTTGCGCTCAAATCACTTAAAGAGTCACCTAAGTCAACTCCAAAAATAATTTGCTTTTAATAGATGCAGAAAAACAGAGGGAAACAAATTTGAGTAAAATCGGATAACTAATAAGGAAGTTATGAATTAAAAAAAAAAAGTATGTAAAACTGTGGACATTGGAAATCACTACACAAATTGCCAATTTGGTTATCAGTTTGTGACGTCATGTCCTCACTATTTATCAATTGCTTTATATATTTTTAATTCCATTAATTTCCCTTTATATCCCCAAAAATTGATTTCCCCAAGCCTTTGCCCAGGTTATATGATTTGTATTATATTGCGTGCATGACATTTCACAGAATCTTTAATGATCTTTGAAGAATTTATACTACTTTCTGAGTATTGTATATTCATATTTATTGATTTTTTACATAAATAGCTTATCAAATTCACATTTTCATGAATTAACTGAACCAAAATTACTCTGTATTTGTGCACCCACACAAAAGCATATTATTATCAATATAACTTGGATGCTGGTGTGAAGAAATACGATTCTAAGGGGGAATTGGAAATTTATATTATCAATACAAAGAAAACAATTAGTGGATAGGAAGGCAATGATGTCACAGAGGCAATGACGTCACAGACTCATGACTGAGTTGCCAATTTGTCTTGTGATTTTCAAAGTTCTTCATGTCATTAATAGCTCATAACTTTCTTATTAGTTATCCGATTTTGCTCGAACTTTTTTTGATTGGTTTTCAGCAACAATGAGAGAATTTCCTCTCAATGTGATCATTCAAAAACACCGATTGTCACATCCTACGCAATCTTTATAATAACACCAAACCAATTTATCCTCACATCAGTTATTGTTGTTTTGAGTTTTGTGATAATGTTCTGGGTTAAGAGGGTTGTAATGGAGCTAACCCACACAAGATACTGATAATTAGAAAGATATTGCCTTGAGTTAAGCAATTTACCCTCACATCAATTATCGGTGAATTGTGTTTTGTGCTAAATTGTTCTGTGTGTAAGGTTGTGATGGTGCTTACCGACATCAGAAACGGAAAATTGTGTAAATACATTACGTTGAACAAAGTCATGTTCCCTTTCATCAATTTTTGGTGTCCTGTGTTCTCTGCATAATTCTTTTCTTAGCAAACGAGCAACCGTGGAGAGAGGCGAGGAAAGCAACTGACCAGCAACATGCCTAAACTGTACAAAATTATTCCCTATGCTTTTTTGTGTTTAATTTTTTATTTGCAATACGATTTGCCATCGATAGGAATCCGTACATAACAGGGTAAACAAGATAACGAAGAATTCAGCGGGAGGAAGATTCAAGTAACCTTTTGCATGAAATATTGCAGTAATCGAAAATTATTTCTGTAAATAATCCAAAGAGTATTGCAATAAACATACATTTCGAATTATTTCTTCAAGGTCCTTGCTATGGCAAGAGCCATTGAATGAAAGTTTTGCTACCCCTATTTGAGTTGGTCACAATATGACGTTCACTGCTTTGTTGAGCAAGCACAACATAACAAAATACCCGTTTTGTGACCACATGAAACTAAGTTGGCCAACCTATGTGTATAGGTGATTCTGGACTGAGCTTGTGTTAGCGCGCCGTCAGCAGTGTTGAGCGACTATACGAATTGGTTATGAACGAAATACTATTTTAAGCAGATTTCAGGTAAATAGCGTATGAAAAGAAGTGAAATATAATAGTTCCATCAAGAGAGTCGAGCGAAAACTTACAAAGCCATACACAAACAATATTCCTGACCCTATTTTGATGAAAGATTGATGTTACGGCTCGATGAATACTATCAAAGTACTGTTCATAAATCTCATCTACCGTGGAAACTAGTACTCTTTTATTATCCCGATTGTAAATGCACAAATATTACACTGTATATTTGTATTTCGATAAAACACATATATAAGTCTACACACTCACTGATAAAAGGGCAGTACATTGTATATCTGAGTCACAGATCTGCAACGTTCGGAGATTCGTCGCCTTAGGATCAACATTTCTAGGTGTAATTAAATGCATTGTCTTGAAGGTAAGAAATAGAACAATGCTTCATATTAACGAGAAGGTTGAGTTATGTTAAAGATGGAAAAATATATTGTGAGTTTTGGATGTCAGTTTGGAAGAATATCAGAGTAGGGCTGTCGCCTGAAAAGCTATTGAAGTGGCCTCATATTCAAAATATGACAAGAGCTAGCTCAATCGTATGGACCAATGTCGAATTTGTGTGTAGTCTCACATGCCTAATTATGTCAATTTTCTCTCAATTTGATCATTTAAGAACTCATAGTACACACCAATATTTTTGTTCTACGTAATCTTTCTTTCCCAATTGATTCCAGGTGATTTTTCAACAATATGATCACAATTACCAGTGATCATCTTTATTTCTAAACTTACTTTTCACATCCAACAAGTTTAGGTTGTCGTTGCTCTCCACAAATATAGCTACTATACAGTCAAATGGCATTGCCTGCATGCAAGTTAAATATCTGTATAATTTTGATGAAAACAAATCAAGAAAATTATGATATTTGTTTTTCAATGAAGTTTTATATTTGTGACCCGAATTTGATTATAGCGAAATCTGCTACGGGTATCATTTCTTCTTGGTACAAGTCTAAACGATTTCCCCTGTTCATTTATAAACTTTTTATCTAGAATGACGAATAAAGACAGGCTAGATTTCGATGATATTTTGAGAGCGGTTGCCGGAAAAACAAAGCAAGATACAGAAATAGATGATCTCGGAAGGGCACTACAGATTTCTCCGCATGATATTGAAAGTGCAAAGGTGGCAAACAGACATGGTGTATCACATATGGGATCATTAAATTTGCTGAGAGACTGGGCGAAAAGACAAAAATCATCCACAATGAAACAGAATTTAAAAGATGCCTTGGAAAAGCTACAATGGTTTGAAATACTCGGCGAGTGTTATCCCGAGGTTGGTGCTGGTAAGTACAGAGTATTTCTAAGTTCTACGTAAACATATTGAATGTCTGGAGCCAGGGAGGCGTCAATTCATAAACTTTAACCAAGAGTTAACGCCCTTCTTGCTCTAAAATACATAACACGATTCGAACGTATCACTTTGCCCTATTAATTATTGCTTAACCCATCGACCGAGTTCTGGGCTGCCATCAAATTCCCCCGGTCGAATGTTCTTATACGATTATAAAAGGAATATAGAAATGAAGAAAAAAAAGATCAAGGACAAACTTACATTCAACACAGTTGCTCTCTCGCAGAAATATGAGACGTAATATTTTGGTAGGGTTCGACAGCATCCACCCCCTCCGCCTCCAGGCATAATTCTGAGAACACGCCCATATGAAATATAATTATTATTATCATCATGAGTAGAATGTTTGAGTTGATGTTTTGATGTACTTTTATGATGTTGTGTATCTATTGTTTTCATTATAAATATCGACCTTCAAGAATTTGGATTTGGTGATATCCCACCAAAACATACGTATAATATTAAGACCATTACAAATAATTGAATAATAATGATAATAAAAATAGTAATAATAATAATGATAACAATAATGATGATGATGATAATAATAATAAAAATATGATACTTGGGCAATATCAATTGTAATTATCTTTACATCTTCGGGCCTCAATTTAAAATTGCAATTGGTTAATTTCTTTTAAATGCTCCCTAATTTTGCTTAACTCCAATGCTGAAATGTGTTTCCATTTGTATTAATTCAATAATATATTTGATTTGTTCGCAACCACCGATCTCTCAATACCTAAGGAAAATAACAAAAGCTCACTTCTTCTGTTAATAACGTAATTGTAAAGCGCATATGATCATACCTGGAAATTGCAATTCATAAATAACGTATCACTATTAGTATTATTAGTATTATTATTATTATTGTTATATAGATACTGTGACAGTGCCTACCAAAAGAAACCCATCGCGTACCTCTGGACTGCCAATGGATACGACAGATGGTAAATAATGTAGTATTTGTTTTTCCAATAGAGTTCATGAAAAATAAGATCATGAAATTATTACAATTACTGTTGAATTATACAGTATACACATGTACACACACCACAACACACACAGACACAAGAACACAAACACACACACTTGTTGATACATACATATATACTCATTCAAACAGTTTTAATGTATATATATATATATATATATGTGTGTGTGTGTGTGTGTGTGTGATTATAAACATTATATTAAAAGGGGTCCGGAAATAAAGGTAGGCATGGGGACAACGACCCCCCCCCCCCCCCCCCCCCCCCCCCCCCCCATCTAAGCAAAACCCATTCCGGTGTACATGAAGTCTTCTATGTTTGTTTGTGGGATATACATTAGGGTATTAAAATCGACATTGTGATTGTGTTGTTCTTTTTTCTCACTATCATAGATTCCAGCGAACAATACGGTGCAGCAAGACAAAGTCACCCCTCACCATCTCCTGTAGGTAAGGTATTCATATTCAAGGATTCATTTTTAGATCAGAAGCAAAACACATTATTATAATTTGAAAATGGGTCACAGTACACTGCTATTCTGCATACTCATGTCATTGCTTCCTCTAGCAAGACGAAGTGAGCTAGGCATAACTAGAGAAACATGATGGTATACATGTTAAAGCAATCAAATATCCCAGTGTTAATAAACTCTATACGTAGCAAGCTTCTCTGCCTTGTCAATTAATGGATGGTACAATCCTGTCATTTGGTCTATAACTAACAGATACCAGAGTTATACAGCAATTATTACTATCATTATTATCATTATCGTTCTGATGATTTTTTGTATATGAATGTGACCGTATCTACGAGAAGAATTCCATTGCGTAATGCGGGACGGCTTATGCCGAAAGGTGGGTAGCTTCGCGTCGCGTTGATTTGAACGCGACCATTCGTTCAAAGCCCCTCCCCCCGTTGTGCCGAAAGGGTGCGTTGACTAGTCTTCCACAACAATCGTTTATTATAAAATTTACGAAATAGAAATTTAAGTCGTTTAAATTCAAAAAATCAAAATAGAAACAGATTAAAAATTGAATAAAACTAGTTTTACTTAGTCTTGCTGATCAGGCGTTTATTATAATTAATTCAATTAATAAGTTCAATAAATATTTTAAAATATCAAATAAAAATAATATCCATTTCTTTCTATGTAGAGAATTCATTTTTTGATGAAAACTAGTCATGCATACTAGTCTTTACAAATGATATAACAAATAAATAAATAAATAAAGGGGTAGGCCTACCGCCTTAATGCACCCTTTCGGGATAAGCGGGCAGGGAGGCGGGGGGGGGCTTTCTGAATTCCATACAGAGAAAGAAATGTATATTATATTTTGCTATTTTAATAAATAAACGACTGATATGCAAGACTAGGTAAACAACTTTGACATTTTTAAATATCAAAGTGAATTATTTGATTGTGTTTCTTGTTATTTATTTATTTAATTCTTATTAACGCCTGATCTGCAAGACTACGTCAAACTAGTTTTATTTAAATCCGTACTGCTTAAAGTTAATTGCGCCCTTCATATAGCAATAATGCCTAATCGGTGCATGTTGGTCTCCCATGATCCTCTTTTTATTATGTTAATTGAGAGCCGGTTTAATGAGATAAACACCTGTCAAGTGACCTTGCAGGGGTCTAATCCCCCTGGCGAAACTAGTACAAATGGCCTTTAACTTGTAATCAGTTTCTATTCTGATAATTTGATTAACGACTTACATTTCTATTCCTTAAATTCTATTATAAACGACGGATGTGGAAGACTAGTCAACGCACCCTTTCGTCGAAACCGGGGGGGGGGGGGGCTTTGGACGAATGGTCGAGTTCAAGTCATCGCGACGCGACGCGACGCTACCCACGCTTTCGGCATAAGCCATGCTGGACTGCCAACGGATAGAATTTGTGATAAATATTGTAAAATCATGAAATTGTCAAGTACTGTTGAATTATACAATATACACTTGTCCATTCGCAAAAACAACCCACCCCCACACACGCATATTTATATATATATATTCATTCAAACAATTCAAATATATATATGTGTGTGTGTGCGTGCGTGTGCGTGTATGTGTGTGTATGTGTATGTGTGTGCGTGTATGTCTATCTGATTAAATACATTATATTACAAGGGTTCCGGAAATAAAGACGGGCATGAGTGACAATGACCAGCCCCTCCCACCCCAACATACCCGCAAAACCCATTCCGGTATACTTGAGACCAAAAGGACTTCTATGTATGTCTGTGGGATATACATTGGGATATTGATATCATCATAGAGTTAACTTATCGAAAGTCTTTGTGATTATGTAGTTTTTTTCTTCTCACTATCATAGATTCCAGCGGACAACATGGTGCAGCAGGACCTAGTCATCCCCCAACACCTCATGGTAAGGTATTCATATTTAAGGGGTTCATTTTTAGGAAAGAAGCAAAACAAATTATTATAATATGAAAATGGGGCGAATTACGTTGATATTTATGTTACTTCTATCACTGCATCCTCTAACATGATACAAGAACCATCTTCATTTCAAGGCATAACTAGAGAAGGTTGGTGGTATACATGTATGAAATTAACTATCCCAGTGTATATAAACCCTACACATAACAAGCTTCTCTGTGAACGTGCCTTGTCAATCAATAGGTGGTACAATCCTGTAGTTCGGTTGATAAAATATTACATTTGTTTTCTTTTACTTGAGGGGGGAGGGGGACGTCTTATCAGAAATTAATACCAATGTCCCGCATTGAAAAATTGCACACTACAGAATAATCACGTTTGATATCAAAGTTGGAAATAACAGTGCTGTCAAGATTAGTTTGAAAACAGTGAATTCAATTACTGCTTAGTTGTTTGTATTGGAAGATAACAATACCCCCCCCCCAATAATCCGAGAGCAGTTTAAACGTAAATTGCGCTTTAAGTATTTTAATTGGGGGGTGGGGGGGGGGGGTTGACGACACCTTCCCAATAGCAAATCCACTAAATCATCCAACATATAGTTCTCTCACTGATGAACTTTAATACATATTCTTTCTGACAAAGTAAATTCTGACACTTTTTACAATTTGTTTGGCTTTAGCGCACAAACCATCCAATATTGCTGTTATTATCTTTATAGTGCATGTAGTATAATTATTATGATGATGGTATGGGTGATGATTATTATCATAATTGTTATAATTATGTTTGTTTTTATCATCATTATTGTTTTTGATGTTCTTATAAGTATTATTATCATTACCATTTTTCATTAACATCGTCATTATCATCATTACAATAATTTCATGACCAGTATTACGATTTATATTACTGTCATTACACCATTCCCCCTAGATAAATGGCAGAACCGTACTGTGAGGCCAGCTAAGTCGGGACCTGACGAATCGGATCGTGAGATGGTATGATTTTATAACGTTTCAAATACCTTACTAAAACCGCCAGACCACGGGCATATCACACCCACACTACACTAGCGCACCCACACACAAACTTTTGAGGGAGAGGGTGGTCTTTACAAGTCTTCCGCCACACTTTTCAGAGACAGTAGTTCCAAAATCGTTAGGTAGTGAAAGCGTTAGTGTGTGTGTGTGTGTGTGTGTGTGTGTGCATGGGTGTGTTCGTTTAATGTTCGTCCGCTTGTTTGTATTGCTATCATACCACCCTTCCACACACACACATACAAACCTCGAAAACACAAACAAACAAACGGCCTATAAACCGAAAAATATAAGCCATCGAGGTAACACGATACCGCCAAATAGTTAGTTGTTTGGAGTCCATGTGGAGTCGGTTTGGTGATGTGACTAGGTAAGCGTATTAAGGGACATACAGTGTATGTCAAACAAAAGTTTAAACCTAGAAAATTAATAATTATTTTTAAATCGTCTATTAATAGTAAATTATTATACATCTTATGAAAGAGTGTTTTACCCCAAAGCATTCAGTATCATTTTGTGTGGTATGTGTACACGCTTGAATGAACAGGAGGCATTGTTTGCAGGAGTGTAAAAAATGACTTGCGCCAAAGTTGCTCATGTGATGTTTGAATAAAACATTTGGGATTCTGGTATTAATTCGGTCTTTGCAGATCCAAATAACATCCCTAACAAAATTAATCATGCCACACATATCAAATATCGAATATCAAATATCAACGAACATGTGTGCGCGCGTGTATGTGTGTGTGTGACTTTGCTTTGGCGCAAATCGATTTTTGCACTCTCGTGTTTCATTTATGGAAAGTAAAAAGTTCATTCTCTAAAAAAATCTGTAAGAAATACTTTGCCAAACATATGGAACACTCTACTTCAAGTCGTACGCTTATATAAAAACTGTTCAATGTTTAAAAAACAAATGAAACTGACCTTGTATTCTGAGTACCGTTAAATTAACCTTCCAAACCTTATTTGCCCCCCTCCAATTTTAAATTATTTCATACATGTTTTTGTATTTTTTTTGTCTTTATATTGTGTGTATCGCTGTATTTTGTGATATCTTTAAGTAATATATGCTCAGTTATATAACTATTATAAATTATAATATTCCGGGAACTTTTTTTTTTTTATACAGGGCCACCATAGGCTTTTCCTTTGTTCTCCTATTTCATTTGAAGCTATTGTATTAACTGAACATTATTTGTATCTATATATACTTGTATGTTTATTTGCATTTGCTGTGTTTTTTTGAAAATGAAATGAATAAACGAACTCGAACTTGAACTTGATAATAATTTGTATCTAATAAAAAATTAAAAAAAATCCAGGGGTAATTGTCCTTGAGGCGGTGGTTGTCCTCGAGAGGTAATTCTCCGGGGGGGGGGGGTAATTGTCCTTTGGGGGTAATTTTCCCCTGGTAATTGGCCGGGGGTTGATCGGCCAGGGGGTAATAGTCCTAAAACCCCGGTAGAATGCGACCGTTCATGGGGTTTTACTGGCATTTGCATGCTTGAAAATGGCACCTGGCTGGACTACTCCTCAGAACGGACCGTGTAAACTATCGTGTGCGGATGAGAAATCGAATCCAGTGACCAGAATATTAATATTAACATCGTAAACTACTAAGAAAAGTAGTATTAATCGCTGTACTCATGTGACTGATATTATGTGGATTAGCAGAAAGAGAATGCGTTTGTGATACCTCACACTAATTAATTGTTCTATCATTTCAGTTTAAGCCTGTTCTATCAGAAAGATGAACGTTTATATTTCGAAATTTCGGTAAAATTTAATACATTCACTTAAACTTTTAAATCGGAAATCTGATCACTCACTTTCTATTTTGTTATGTTGTATACTGTACATTAACATAACCGGGCTATCTTGCGTCGTTTTATTTTCCTTTCAGCAATACGTTATGTGGGAATCTTCTGTGAAAGGAAACGCGCTCATCATAAGCAACGAAGACTTTCCACAACCAGGCGATCCCAGACCTTGGGCAGATATGGATATCATGAATATGACAGGGCTGTTGAAGAAAGTCGGTTACGGTTTTCGAAATGATCAAAATATCTATAAAAACCTTACCAAATCGGTATGTGAAAAGTTGTGACTTCTCATCAAACAATACACGGAGTGTAACTTTTAAAGTTACACATGCTACTACCTTATATGGGTAGTTCTTGTATATTATTTGTATAATATCATACTACCTTGAAAAAGTTTCGTTCCTGTTGCACTAGATAAAAAACTATGATAAACTGAAACGACCTTTTAAATCTATTCAAAGCTAAAAATCGCAGATTCAACTACGAACACTTACGCTTACGTGCTTGTTCAATTTTGAAGCTTGTGGTAAAAGGCAACATTAGTTAAGCATACCCAAAACGATGAGACCAAACATACTATCATTTAGTTCAAGATCATGTGCAAATTTGATGTACGACAGCAATCTGCGAGACATTAAATCAAAATTACTTGTATAAAGGACACATTTTGAATATAATACTGCATCCTATTCATCTAAATTATGATGATTACTATGGCACATGTGCACATGTAAAACTTTGCTCGAACGGTGTGCAAACGTACAGCTACAGATATATTAATAAATGTTAATACCTTCATGATTTACTGTGAAAAGAAGGATTTAGTGAAGGTATAAGTAAGTTTGTGAGAATTTTCATTCTTTTAAACCCAAGTGGGGAGGGGGGGGTATCAAAGCATCTTTGTTAGGTAAAAAGGAGTGCTCTGGAAAATGCCTTCATATTTCAAATATGACTATAACAGTTTTAAAGCTGTTGGTTAAATTTCGAAGGTACATGTAGACCTATAACTGCAGTTTCATATAACCCTATCTGTGTGCTGTGCTTTTTAATTAGTGATTTTCTGCAGGGTTGAGCCGATCTGATAAAAAAACATCATTGCATAATATTATAATATCATTACCCAATCACTCAAAATAACCTCTAGGAGTTTGTTTCACAATGTAATCGCTTAACAATACAGTTCTATACGCAACTCAGCCCTAAATACTTTGTCTAAAATTGGATTTATAAGTTGATTCATGTTTAATCAAATATGGCCTTTTTCACATAAACAGGAAATGAAAGACACTGTTAAAGAGTTCACCGAACAGCTAAAGAAGGACAATCCCCAATCAGCAGTGGTGTATATATCTAGCCATGGCAATGAAAAGGGCGTTCAAGGAAAGGACGGAGGGATACTCCAAATTCGAGATTTGCTGGAAATGTTTTCAAGAGTGCTGCCTGGCAAACCAAAGGTTCTCATCATAGATGCATGCTGGGGAGGTATAGTAGAAATTGGTTATAAGAAACTATCTCTCGCGATAATTGCTCCTTGTCAATATCATACGCTAACCGAATTTTTAACTTCGACGCTATTAATATACATAATATATCTATTCTAACCCAACCTAAAACCCGATTCCAACAATAACCGTATTACTATACCTGTGACGAAACACAGCTTGGAGTTACTGTCGCAGAAGTAAATGTTGGATCACCTAAGAAATTATTTCAAGTACATTTAGCTTTGCCAGCTATTAAATATCGGAAGGAGAGACACCTTGCCTTGGCAGGGGGTGGGGTGTTTCATCAACTTAAATTGATTTAGTTGATGAAACACGACCCAAGACTGCATTTCGACCAAAGCGAGCGTATTAGATGTTTTTTAAACTATTACACAAAACCGGGATATAACAATACTTAACAAATGTATACTGACCATGTTTTATCAACAACAATCGATTTTAGTTGATAAAACACCCCATATCACACATTCATTATATATACTTACATTAGCCCTATACGGATGATGGTGATGATCTTTATAATGATCAGGATTATGATTGAAGTATTCATGATAATAATAACATAAATGATACAAATTTTCACAATATTTTGTCGCAGAAATGTAGTATATATGGTGATTCTGTAAGACTAAACAAAGACACTAAAGAAGGTCATCCAAATGGACAAGCATGTTATAGAGCATTGATCCAAGACTGCATTTCTCGAACGACCAAAGCAAGCGTATTAGATTGTTTTAAAACTTTTATACAAAACCGGGATAGAAAAGTACTGCCCATGTCTCTAAAATGAGTTTTTATGAGGACCTAATACACTAGAATAAATGTCGGGTAAACTTATTTCAACATCGGGGTATTTATTTGTTCAACAATCCTTTAGGCAATGACGGGCCTGCCCTAACATTGGCGAGTTTAGCTCAATTTTCAGTGGTTTGTTTACCCAGCTTTAATTGTTTACCCAGTCATTTCCACAGTATACCTTGCATTTTTAGCTTATCTCAATTACTTCACAGATATTCTTGACAAATACTTCACTGTACCTCCACCACTCCTCCGAATATAATCGAAATTAATTAAAAATACGGTTTCTTTCTTTTATACAAGATGATGAAACGAATCGCTTACCAGTCTCTGCGTCCAGTTCTTCTTCAGCAGCATCAACCACAACTTTCTTACCGGAGAACGCTGATATCTTTATGATACACTCCACTTCATACGGTATTTACTACTGTTTTGGATGGGCCATTTAGTAATGTAGTCAATTAATAGTCAACGTCTTTGTTCACGAGCCTTGTTTGTACATAATAAAAGCTAATTTAAAGCACGAATCTTTGTTCAGTGCCCCGATACAAACTAATTCATCCACCTGTTTACGAATAATTGTATTTCAATATAGTCAGAATGCGAATTTCGTACGTTACATGTTTGCTACGTCTACTTCTACTTCTACGACGATATTCAGCAGGATCCATAAGTCAGGATGTAGTGCTGAGGAATAAACTATCTAGTTCTTGGTCTAGATGCTTGGTTAAAGCGCTCCCTTGAAGCCCTCCAGTGAAGTAGCGTCAAGGGTGATCTTTGAAAGTGCATTCTACGCAGTTACTGTCCGAGGGGAAAATGAGTTCTGATAGAGCTGGGTGCGGGACAAGCCGTAATATTTTTCGTACCGGGCAACAGCAATAGCAAAGTATTTAATTTTCTCTCAGTTAATCGCCTTAAAATAATATATTATGCTATTGAATGGATTAAACATTGTTAGGCTTTTTGTATTTTTTTTTCACACAGGAAAAAAAACATGGAGTTTTTTAACAAATATTATGCTATTGAATGGATTAAACATTGTTAGGCTTTTTGTATTTTTTTTCACACAGGAAAAAAAACATGGAGTTTTTTAACAAAAGGATCCTGGTTGGTAGATGAGCTATGCAAAGTGGTCTACAACAACGACCGTGACCTTGAAGATTTGGATACCATCATGCTAAGGGTTGGTTTTCTTCCTAGACACCTGTTACTCCAAAATAACCTACCCGAGACAGGTTCCCAAAACGCTGGCTCAAAAATGGTACAGATTCTAGACCTTTGGTTACACAGACTTGTCATAGGCTACCCAAGGCAGATTTTTTTTATTCTTCTGCTTTCTGCATGCAGTATGTTTGGGCTGTCAACATGAGATAATCAATTGTCATGTGCACGCTAGTATACAGGCATAATATCAGAGACTCCTATTTGACAATTAAAACAATTATATGAATGATTGAGTCTTGCCTAACTGGTCAATCTCTAACTTTGTCAAATGGCAGGAACAGCTTGTGACAAGAGCGTACTTTTATATACGGGTTGTATTCCATACAGTGAATGGTCTGTGGAAACTACGTGCATCATTCAAACCTGTCTCGGGTAGGTTTGCATAGGTTACACTTTACCCTTTGCTTTGGTATCAACAGTTTTAGAGAGAATGGTTTATAACAAACTTTATGATTACTTAAATACCAAAGCATTGTTGAGCATTTACCAATCAGGATTTCGACCCAATCTCTCTACAGCTACTGCTCGTCTAAATGTTACAGATGACTGGTTAACTTGGATAGATGACGGGAAAATTGTCCGTGTCGTAATGCTAGTTCTGAAAAATAGGCTTTTGATACCGTTGATTATGAGTTACTAATGAGAAAATTGTATAATAATGGGTTGGATGAACCATCACAGTTATGGTTTTCAAATTATTTACAAGGTCGAGTGCAGTCTACATCTGTTAACGGTAAAATGTAAGATGTATTGCCAGTTGAATGTGGAATCCCCCAAGGATCCAATTTAAGAACCCTGTTTTTATATTACATTTAAAAGATTTGTCACTTGGCCTCAGCCACTGTTAAGTAAGCATGTATGCTGATGATACGGTAATTTATTGTTCGTCATATGATACCATAGAGTTTTAAATGAAGATCTCTAATATGTCAAGAACTAGTTGGAACAAAACGAACTAAATTTGAATATAAAGAAAACCGAATTACTCTTATTCGGTACCAAACAATGTCTGGATAAAGTTAAAGATACTAATTTAAACACTATCATAGATATTTCTTTGTTAACTCGATTTAGTAATTGTGTACACCTTTGGGTAATTGAAGATGGAAGATTATAATGGCAGGGACATGTTACTACTTTTCATAAAATAGCAAATAACGGATTTCATATGTTCAAAACTAGAAGAAATACAGTAAATGAATATAAAAATAAATTGGTTTAGAATTCACTAGTATTGTCTCACCTAAATTATTGTGATGTAGTATGGGGCAGATGTAAATTTACAACGAAAAAGAAATTACAACAAAAATCAGAATAGAGCAGCACAAATAATAAAAAGGTCCCCTTGGTATTCCTCATCAGATGAAAAACAGTTTCACAATGTTTATACATCATTTTTAATTATGAGTAAAATATAACATTAATTGATCTGATACCACTGAAGTTTTGGGTTTTATCAAAAATTAGCAATTTTAAAATAAGAGCTATTTTACTGTTTTAATTTACTGGATCGTACCATTAAAGTCGCAGTGTAGAAAGATGCATTTTCCAACCGCGCCTAATTAAATTTACGTACCGACATTCTGCTAAATGAGTTCGTGTTGTTTTACAAGAATCTACTGCTTTTTGATCCACTAACCGTCCATATGCGGAGTCGTTTATCAACTAAATGTATTCAAATTTATGTATACTTCCTTCCAATCCCATATGTTTGTGGTGTTAAAGCATTCCATTCAGCTGTTATTATTCTTTGTACTCAAATTGCCAGAACGCAAATTGCATTTGGGTTTTATAGTTTGATTCAATAAGTAAGTCAATACAATACTATGTTCTGCATAACAAAAACAATGTGTGTCCCTATTCTACATGTAGGCTAGTGTGCCTCTCTCCAAATTGTACGTGTCATTCTTAATTGACCTATTCACATAATGGAACTACCTGTCCGTTGAAGCCAGTGGCCCGTGACCCCTGACCACTGAACACTGTGTGGTAGTCAGTTTGTGATCAATTTCTTTTATGAGACAAATCCAAGCAAACGTTTCCATATATGAAAATTGAAGTTTGTTCATTCTATTTATGCTTTATGTTTACTTTGTGACCATGTGAAGGAAAACAAATTATTTGGAAAATAAAACACAAATGTAATCTAATCTAATCTAATCACAGTATTTATTTTCCTCTTCAGAAGTATTTATGCGGTTATAGAATACATTTAACAACAAAATAATTGAAACAGAAATATACATTCACTTTACACCTCATCTCTTTAAATCTTTATAATCAGATTAAAATCAAGGGCTATAATCTAATCACAGTATGTATCAAAAAGACCACGAAACCTTTATCCTTCTTCTTCTCATCATTGTTATATTAATTATTGATATTATTGTTATTTTTACTTTGACTTGTTTTCGGTGTATTTCAAATTCCAGGTGACTACGGGAGTGCACAAAATTAAATCCAATGACGAGGATGGAAAAGGAATTGGTACTCCGAGTACCACTGTTTTCAAACAAGGAGTGGGTCGAAAACTCTTCTTCTATCCTGGTTACCCACCTACCAATGTTTAACACCAAGACGTAATTACTAAGATTGACATGTCTTTCTTTCAATTCGGTTCATTAAAAAAATGCTTTATTAGACAACATGTTTTGCAGCAATAGGCTTAGTTCTACATGTACAAACAAGACTTTTTTTTTAATATTACAAATTCAAAATCCGTATGAATATTATGAAAATTGTCAAATTGTCTAATCATAAATATTGACATAAACGGATTGATCAAGTTCATCTAGTTCATACATATCATGCAAAAAACGTTTAACTAAATATTATTATATTTGTGTTTAAATTTTCTATGTGATGTCATATACTGTATTGTAGAAAATGTATTAATTGTGAATGTATCAATTGTAAATGTCACGTTAATGATCGATGATAATATAATAACTTGCTTACTTTTATACTCATTATTGTATTACTACTTTTACTACTACTAGTACTATTATTATGTTCGAAAAAAAAATGATATACAGACAAAAAAAGGTAACAGCTGCAAAACATGTTATCAAACTCTTAAAAAATTAAATATGAATAAACTCAATACATATAAATATCTATCGCGATTGATCAATACATGATTAATGTGATTCAGAGGAAGAACCTTGATATTAATGCAATCGGATATGTAAAAAGGAAAAGGAAAAGGCAAATTGCCATGTGGGATGTAAATGAAAATTAAAAAGGAAAAAAACAAATGGATAGGAACAATTTTTTTTTTGCAAATTGAAACAACAACAACCATACATAAAGTGATTGTTCAATGAAAAGCAAATATGCTACTACTTAAAGAAATATCAGAAAATGAAAAGTACATGTAAAAAGGAGTTGTTGTAATGTATTTAGATAATATCATTAGAGCCAAATCAGATCAACGTACAAAATCATTGAATTGTTTCATCGAATTGAATTTGATTTGATTTATTTGATATGCTTGAAGGTTTAGACACAAATATAACAAAAGGAAGGATATTACATCTTGAAACAATATTATAAGCGTTGCAAGATTGTAGTTACATTATTGACAATTAAACACATTTGACAGTTTGAACATAATTGAAGGTAAGACTATTTTTATGTGGCATGTGAAAATGAGAGGCCTATTGAAAAGCATTGCTTAAAATGGTAAAACTGAAGTAAGTCTTAACATGAGTTAGTTGAGTTCTGATATATATAATCATCAATACATTATGCAGCTGTGAGTGTTTTTTAATGTGTAAGTTAGACAGAGATAAACCAGGATTTGAGAGTCACGATATCACGGAGTAAATCCTCTAGATTGTAGGGGTTAAAGCAATTGGAGTTAAGTTTAGATAAAACGGTGGTTCATGTATACGAAGTTTTTAATTCATTTAATAGAGACAACTTTCGGTGTTTTAATGTGTGAGCTTCGTTACCAAGTTTAATATTATTCCAATAATTTGGTCCAGGTTAGGTAATAGTTTCTGAGCAAAGGCTGTTCTCGTCAAGGGAAGATGATATCGATTGTGCAGTGCTTGTCCTGTAGGATAAGGGTGTATGTCATTATAACTCTTCATAGTACATTGACATGGGCCGTGTTTGTCATCAAGGAGTGTTTGTATTGAATTACTGAACGACATATCATTTGTCTTTTTTATGTTTAGAGACCATTTGTTTGCCCGTATGCAGCTACGAAAAGAATTAA